ACCCAAGTTTTACATAGGAATATATAGGAAAAATCTTTAAAGAACCACTAGGCCAGGAAAGATGAAATTCATGAGGAATCATCCTCAGGTAGTGTAGATTCAACTTTGTTCAAATCATGACCCCTGGGGCAAGGGTGGGGCCAAAATGGCCGACCCTTGTTTTACATAGGAATATATTAGAAAAATCTTTAAAAATCTTGTTCTCGAGAACCACTGGACTAGGAAAGATGAAACTCATGTGGAATCATCCTCAGGTAGTGTAGATTCAAGTTTGTTCAAATCATGACCCCCGGGGCTAGGGTGGGGCCCAAATGGCCGACCCAAGTTTTACATAGGGATATATAGGGAAACCTTTTAAAATCTTCTTTTCAAGTACTTCAAAGCTATGATTAGTGATATTTATATGGAATCATCCTCAGGTAGTGTAGATTCTAATTTGTTCAAATGATGAACGCCTGGAGGGGGGGGGATAAATTCAAGCCCGATGTGCTCAGGTGAGCGCTGTGGCCCCTGGGCCTCTTATCGGGGTATTGTGCTGGACCTGTTCATAAGCAGAAAATAGGAAAACAGCATGTTTGTTTTGATGTCATTGTTTTATTTAATAGCTTCTATCTTTTAAACTTTAAATTTATTATATATATCCAAAACTGCACTATATGTATTGACAAAATAGATCTAGGTTAAGAATGCACTGGAAATATTGAGTTATTTTTGTTTATATAGACTCTTTCATTCGCCTGTGAAGTACCGGTACTGTATAAATAATCTATAGTTCAATTTTGTGTGAATAATAATAATCTTTTCAAATAGCAAACAGTAAAAAATATATATGTACACTTGTCTAGTTAAATTTTGTTTTAACACTAATACATATGTACACTTGTACATATGTATTAGTGTTAAAACAAAATTTAACTAGAGGTACTGTGAGCAATGAGCTCACTAAATGATACCCCCTGCCTCCCATATGGTTATAACTGATGACAAATCCATTTTTTACTGTGGCCGGGAAACCCAAAATATGTGTCGAATCAAAAAGTAAAATAGGAGGTGCACAATGGCAATATGTAATACAGATTCTGTGAAAGGTTCATTAAATTTCACTCACTGCAATGGTATAAGAGGAGTTGCGGATAATAAGAGATGGGTACCCTAAAGCGTAACAGACAGACAGACGTACAGACAGATGGACGTACAGCTAGACGGACATACCGATTACAGTATACCCTACCACTTTTCAAGCAGAGGGTATAATAAAACTATATACATGTACATGTAGAATATTCACCTCTGATTTATAATGATATTTGTTTTATACACACTGACCATGTTTTATAATATTCTAAACAAATTATTTGATACTCAGGCAAATATTCACTACTATTAAAATGATCACACACATGAACATATCTGTGTATGAATGAAATGAATTTTCCTTTTGATCATGTTTTTAGGAAAATAATTATTTTCATCATTTTTTCATCAAAGGATTTACCATATAAAATGAATAAAGAAAAAGTAAGACCAGTAAACCAAAATAGGACCAAATAGGCCATGACTGAAGTTCAAGTGCATTCTGCAAGAAAGTGAACAGCCTAGATTTTGTTCTTTTCAAGGTAACCATTCTTGAAATATGAAAGTAAATTAAGGACAGATGATACAAACAAAAAATGGATGCCTGGATTGGTATATGTTTTTTGGCGTAATTTAATTGCCAATGATGCTATTAATAGATTTCTAGAATATTAAGAAATTGTAAACCTTCTGTGATGTTCAAAAGTCTGCGCGCCCTCTTGAAACTATCCTTATTAATCTATACAAACATTTTTCACTTCAAATTCCATTTTTATGCAAATATGAATTAAAAATTAAAACGTACTTGAAGAAAGTTATTAATTTTACTGATTTAAACATGACCCCAGTTGTTATTTTCAAATTCTTTGACAAAAGTTTGTTTGTATCATCTGTCCTTAAATTGTTAAAAAAATATTTCAGTTTTCTATCTAAATTTAAACCTTGCTTATTTCTTTTTTTTTAAACAAAATTTAATACCTGTCCAGTAACAGAAGAATTATTATACTAGAATAAAGAAAACAACTTTCTAAAGGATTACATACACATTTAATTAGCTTGAAATCAGTGTATATGGGAAAGTGCAGGAATTATTTACCATTGCAGGTTGAGAAGGGATGCCATATTTTAGGTTTGAAACCAGGCAAGTGAAAGCTGAATTCCAACCTACTTCAACATACCAGGGGTACTTGTACCTACTGTCTTCAAGATATCGGTGTTTGAGATGTCAAAGTTCAAATATAGTAGGAACATGTTTATCATATTATGTGATGGCATCCTCAAATCTTATGCTGTGTAACAATATGTTTTAGAACTTATCAAGCTTTATCCTGTACCTTGCCAAAAAAACTCAACTCAGCATAATTCTCATTAACTAATTATCAGTGTTACTTGCGTACGTCAATGTAGGTCATTACTGGTACATGCCTGACCAACAAAAACTCTAAAATTGAAAAATCAGAGACAAGATTTTCAGAGTAGCAGAAACAGCAGAATTTGTCACGTAAATCTAATGATATGTACCGTAGTTGAGAATACATGTACTCTAAATGTTGCATATATAAAAAATTAAAAAAAAAGCGAAAAGTTCTCTTGTTTTCAGAATTTATATTTATATGTGAAAAAAAAAGAAAAGGAGATTGATATAGTCGGTGTGAGGAGATGTTGGCAGGAACCTAGTAAAATGAAAGGAAGAACTTCCTTAAAATGATACTTGTGGGGGACAGTGTCTCATGGGGGGGAGGGGGGGGGGCATTGTTTCAACTGACTTTACAGAATACAAAAGATCCATTGCAAACCTAATTATTAATTAGATGCCAAACACTATGTTTAAAGTTTTCCATTGTTGGATATTTATGTTTAAATCCAAGATAACTTACCCAAGAGGATGTGATTTTTTTTTAAACCAATGTAATTTTTCTCAAGTTTAAAGCCGTGTTTCATAAGTTTTAAAAGAAAAAATCAGAAGGGGGGGTAAATTTTTGACTTCTGTTCATTCAAAGTATCTGTGGTTTGCAGTTGCCCATAAATTTAATAAATAATTATACAAAGTAACAAGTTGAAATGAGTAAAGAATAATGAATGTCCTGCGTGTTTTAGTTTCATTTCAGAATTTTTCAAGTTTGACTAAATCTTGAAAAAGTAAAAGCCACAAGGTTTTGCAATTATTTGACATAGCATTACAAAATGCATTATATTTTTGCAACATCATAAAGATGCAAATTTAAGATGCCAAAAAATTTAGTTCACATTCACATTTAACTCATTAACAGGTTTTATAAAAGAGTAAATAAGTGTATAGTTTTGGGAATATTGTTACGTTAAACGCAGCCATTTTGGTTATAAATCTGGTATTCCTGTCTCCATGGTAACAAATCTTGCATTCCTGTTATAGTAATAGAGAATGGATAGGGAAAATTATTTTATTTCATATTAGTTTCAATCTAAGGGGATAGTTTCAGGAAACTTGAAACATACCCTGCTTAGTCTACATGTACTTCAAAATTGTCAATTTTACGGAAAGGGGTGGGGGGGGGGGGCATTTTGTGCAGGTGTTCACAGTTCTCCTATCTAAGAACAGATTTACATGTATTAATGCTCTTGGAAATGGGATGTGAATACTTTTACATGACACTTCTCATAGATATGGACTAATTTTACTGTAAATGACATCAAAACAGGTAGAAAGGAACATTTCTTTTCTATATGAACTTAATGAAATGTGCATATGTTCCTTGAAATACGGAAATTTTGCAGATTTTGGCTAATTTTTCATCAGCTTTTTAAAAAAAAATATTTAAGTGTCCCATAAATATTTTAATGTGTTGAAACTAACTTATGTACCATATATACAATGCACTGTTTCCTGAATTTCAAATCAGTGTGCAAAGTATTAAAAAATCGCTTTGAAAAAGGGTCTAAAATGGTAATTTTCTCAATTTGGCAAAATGCCAAAATCCCCAAAGCTAAGCGTTGTTAAGCCATTATGTAGAATTACAGTTTTTAAAAAAATATGTTGTTATATTAGAGAGGAATAATGGCAGTTTTGAAGCAAAAGTAGATTTTCCCATTCTCTTGTTTCTTTTAAGCTCATTTTTATTCAGTAAAACTTACAAAATCACGTTTTTTTTTGTCAAAGTTTAGGAGGAATTTACAGGGGAAACAATAGGTTCTGTTACCATGACATCGAGATATTTTTTGAAATAAAAAAATACAAAACCATTAATGATGTGACAATTTGAGTACACACAAAAAGTTTCATAGAAATTGAAAATGTAGCGTGGCCAAGCATTATTGATATTGTTTGATAATTACAGAGAATTGATATTAACATGCATAAGCAATGTCAGCTGTATCAGTCAAAATACAAAGCAAAATCATTTCTTACGAATTATTAGTCAATAAACATTATGGTATTTCATAAGCAACTTGATGTAGTTATCGGAAGTATTTTGATCTGTCATTACTTTCACTTATGATACAAAAATTAGCTGATATCCGTGCGTCATTTTATCGGGTGAAAAGTTCAGTTTAATGCCCGCTAAGTGTAACAAGTATCCAATGAGTCATACATGTAATTGTTCAAATGCAGTATTACACTGCACTTAATGATTCTACAAAAAATACAGTACGATGAATATACGTCTAAAGTATGTATAAAATTGACATAACTTACATAACTTTTAAAGAGTCTCTGTACATGTATATGTCTTGTTGACACATCGATTGGGTTTTATTATGAACTTTTTGTTCACGAATTTCTTATTGTAAAAATACAACTAAATCCTCGTGAATAATGAAAAATCTCTTGAAAAATGAGATCTACTCATTAAAGTTTACTATTTATTTTCTATAATTTTTTAAAGTAATAAGAGTGCTAAAAATAATCATGTTAATTAAAATAGTACGTATATCTAACAATGTATACATTATTTTGCAAATGAACAATATCTTAACCTTTCCAAATCAATCGTTTTAGCTCGGTTCGAAAATCCGGAAAACCAGCTGCATAAACAAAAATATTGACGGCTGTTTGTGTCTTTGCAAAAAATGTTGGGATAATTGAAAAGTATATGGAAATGTTCACTCCAATTGTCACCAGAATAGCAACACAAGCATATGGAACCCATGCGACAAGAAAAGCAATCATTGATCTGCCGATGTTCTGAAAAATGATGTAAAATTAAATTAGAATGTATTGAAAAATTAATTATTACATGTATTCTCTTAAGTAAAGAATGCGTTCTTGTAAGATATTTTAACCCCATTTTGTACAAGTAGGATATCGAATTTTACTAACATGGTTATCCACTTACGTAAATTGAATTTATACGATTCCTTTCCCTACCCTACTAACAAAAGTTAAGAATATAGAAAAATAATTCTATTAATACTTATCTTTTTAAAATAGATAAAAAAAATAATTGACTTTGTTCATTTACCTTTAACACAGTATCTTGTATAACCCTGCCTTCGGTTCTAACTCCATGCCGTGGGTTTGAAATACTAGTTCCCGTGTCCCCATCTAGAGAGATCGAAACTGTGTTCCTGATCTTTACAGAAACTTTGTAGTAGAATATTATAATAATACCAACAGGTAACATAAAAACAAAGATGAAAACGGACATAATATAGGAGCGGGTGTCCTCTGATTTACTCATCCAGTCTATGGAGCAGGAAGTTCCGAACGGTTCTATACCGTACTTCCCCCACCCAATAAAAGGGAATGTGCTCCAAAGAAAGGCGTACAGCCACGTGAGTACTATAGTTAATCCAACTTTCTCAACACGCACAAACTCGGCTGCAAAATTTAATAAGAAAAATTGTCAAATATGCAAATTTTAAAAATAATTTCATTAAATGAATTTTGACGGCGCATAATTTTAACAATGAATTCGGAACCAATTCAAAGTACTTATTATTTAACCAATTAAAACATTGATAATATTGCGGGTATGTTTATATTTTACTAGGAAGGCAAGTAACGTATACTTACATTCTGGACTAGAAACCAGAAGATAACGGTATATTCCGAGGAATGCGTACGTCATAATGTTACAAACTGCACCCGAAAACACAAAGAAGGCATACAGCTGACAACCCAAATCACCAAAATACCACCTAAAAGTAAGGTTTGTACAAAATCATAGACGAGATTTAAAACAAGCAAATTCAAAGAATTGTGCTCCATGGGTGAGATTTTTTTGGTGAAATATTGTGTCAAATATGAACGGTTTATCATAAGTCATTTAGAAATTATCAACGAAATTGATTATTTTTTAAAATAGGTCAAAATAGGTAATTCGTGAAGGTCAAGGGGAAAAAAATCATAGCATGCTCGGAAATATCTTGTCACAGGTAATGCAGATGTCAAAAATGAATTCAAAGCCCTATCTCTTCTCAATTAAAAGTTATAAGTAACAAAATGTGTTTGTGAAACACTGATGACCCCCTTATGTCAACATAGCGAAGATTAAACTTTTCTTAAATGAAAATTAAATATATTGGTACCCAAAGTTGGGTCTTCTCACAAGAAATATGATGGCGTATATGCCCTAACACTAACTGTTCAAAAGTTATGGCTAAGGATAAGTTGTTGAAAGGTAGGGCAAACTCCAAGATCAAAGGATCAAAGTTGTTAGTTTCCAAAGAAAGGTCTTGTCACATGTTGTCACAAGTATTACATGTGTGAAGTACGAAAGCCTTAGCTCTAACCGTTTAAGAGTTATGGCCAAGGTTAAAATTTAAAAACAAAGGTCAAACGTCAAGGTCAAAGGTCTTGGTATTCAAATAAGGTTCTTCTCACAAGAATTACATATTTGAAATATGAAAGCCCTAGCCCTTACCGTTCAAAGTAATGGCCAAGATTAGTACGGAAATCTTCAAGGTCAAGATCAAAAGTCAAAGATGTTGGTATCCAATGAACTGTCTTGCCACAAAGAATACCAATATAAAAGTCCTAGTATCAACCGTTCAAAAGTTAAGACCAAAATAAAAGTTTGGATTTTTTGTGTAAGAGTGGGTCAAACTCCATGGTCAATAGGTCGAATTTGGTACACAAAGGTAATACACCACCACATATGCGAGCTTGTCTCGAATATGTGAGTTTATGGAAGTGACCTATTAATTTTATAATTCCGGAAAAATTAAATCCACATAGAATTATAAGTGTCAAGCTTTCCGGTTAATCATAGTCCATTTAGGTAAAGTTTAATATTACGTAATTCAACTTCCTTTCTAGAAGATTCCAGAAAAGTGTAAGGTCACATTTTTTATGTAGGAAAAAACTGCTCTTGATATTATTTGAATTTGATAATTGTAAGGAGTTTTAAGGAATTTTAAATGAAAATAAAAGATAATTGTATGGTGTTTTAAAGCAGATTTTGCATCGATGGTTATTTTAAACGTCGATTTTTGATCGATTTGTGTGCAACACGTAGTTGAAATTTTTTGCAATATTTTTTTTGCATTGTATTTGTCAAATTATAATTTTAGTTTCATTTAATTTGAGCAAAATGCCTAAAGCAAAATTCAAGTCAGTCATATCGACACGGAGGAGTGCAAAAAGGGCACGGATGGAAGCGCCGCAGCCCACGGCCCAACCTGCGCAGGTTTCAACCTCGGCTTCAGCATTGACGGTACAAACACCCCCAGCAGCTAATGCGCCGGTGACATCACAGGTGGTAGAACTTCCCCAGCTTGGATTGTCTCCGCAGCATCCCAAACAGCCTTACCAAACAATGCTGTAACACAACAACAGGGAGCCATGGTACCGGAGACGAATGCCAGTACTTCACAGGCGGAAGCTAGCGGTCCTAAAGGTACTGTTGAGAGTAGTATTGGCATGCAAACGGCGTTGTCAAGCTCAGTGCAACCTTCTATGACAAATTCAACGCAATTTTCATTACGCTATCATGTTGATAACTCAACCAAACAAAAAATAGCTAATGGGGAGTATGTGAACTTTGCTAATTTACTGGTTAGGGACCCTAGTAAGTTACAGGTATCAGCATTAACTATGGATGCGCAGGGCCACATAATTGCTCAACCAAAGCAAGCTAGCAAAATCACTTCAATTGAAAAGTGGACCGATGCCTTTTTGATTTTTTTTTTTAGTATTTATCTCACAGCGCACCCAAATAAAACAAAGCAATTGCTCAAGTACTTGCATGATGTCAGATTAGGGGCTGAGAAATCAAAGGGTTGGGTTACATATGACGAGCAGTTCAGGTTACGCATGGCGTTGAATCCAAATGGTAATTGGGGGGTAATTGATAACGAATTGTGGCTTGTCTACATGTCACCCGCTGTAACAATCAATAGTCAAAGGACATCTACATATTACAAATGCTTCGATTACAATTACAAGGGTAAGTGCACAAGGTTACAGTGCACATATGCACATCGCTGTACGAAGTGCGGTGAAATGCACCCCGCATTACTTTGCGTAAATGCACAAACAACTCCGGCTCCAAATTTCCCCAATATCAATCGTACCTTTCGGTCCAACACAGCAGGGCAGCAACAACATTTTCAAAGTCAATACCAGTTTCAGGCCAGAAGGCAACCAGGGCCACAAGCAAGACAGTATGCAAATATTTGGATAACTACCCTGATAAGTCGGCGGCCATTTTTCTAAGGGAGGGTCTGATTAAGGGTTTCAAGTTACAATATACAGGCCCACGCAGTCCGGTGTTTAGCAAAAACTTAGTATCCGCAATTCAACATGCTGATAATTTACAAGAAAAAATAGATAATGAAATTAAGGAGGGGCGGGTGGCAGGCCCATATGAAAGTCAACCAGTACACAATTTGCACGTATCCCCAGTAGGAGTGGTCCTGAAAGCTGATGGCGGTTGGCGAATGATAATGCATCTTTCACACCCACCGTCAATCAGCATAAATCATAATATCGATCCAGCTTACACTGCTGTTAAGTATACATCCTTTGACACAGTGGTACAAACAATGAGTAAAATGGGAAAGGGGGCAGTCATTGCAAAATGTGATGTTAAAAGTGCATTTCGGCTTCTTAGGGTTTATCCAGCTGATTTTGAATTACTGGAAATGTATATTAATGGGAAATACTTTTTAGACAAATGTTTACCTTTCGGGTGTGCTATTTCATGCAAAATTTTTGAAACATTTTCAACATTCTTAGAATGGGTAGTGAGGGATAAAACTGGGATGGAAACACTGCATCATTATTTGGATGATTTCATTTTTATTGGTAGGGCCAACACTGAAGATTGTAAAAGGCTTATGCAAACTTTCCAGGAGGTTTGCGTTGATATTGGGGTTCCCCTAAATAGGGATAAGACAGTAGCACCTACCACTTGCTTAGTGTTTCTTGGCCTGCTTATTGACACTATTAAAATGCAGATTAGAATCCCCCATGATAAAGTTGAAGAACTTACTCAATTACTTCAGTTTTGGGTAGGCAAAGAAAAAATTAAATTGTCAGAACTACAAAGCTTGGTGGGCAAGTTAAACTTTTTTAGTAAGGCGATACCCGGAAGCAGAGCATTTAATAGGCGTTTCTACAACGCAATGGGTAGTCTAGACAAACCATATCTACACTTAAGAATAACTAGGCCAATGCGGGAGGATTTGAAAACATGGCTTGAATTTGTAAAAGACTTTAATGGGGTGGTTTATTTTCCGGATAGTCAATGGAGTTCTTCGGAGGCACTTGAACTTTTTACAGACAGTGCAGGGTCAGTAGAGTTAGGCTGTGGTTGCTATTTTAAGGGTGAGTGGGTCTTTTTTCAGTGGTCTGCAGATTGGGCTAATTCAGCAATATTGAGGGATATTACATTTTTGGAGTTGATACCCATAGTGTTATCAGTACTGGTATGGGGGAAAAGATTGCAAAATAAAAAAATTAATTTTTTCATAGACAATATAGCTTTAGTTCACATATTAAATAAGCAATCATCACAGTCGGAGAGAATTATGTCATTAGTCAGGCCCCTAATGTTAGCATTGTTAAGATGTAATATACAATTCAAAGCTAATCACATACCAGGTAAACGTAATTGTATTGCTGATTCAATATCCCGCAAAAAGTGGGAAATTTTCAGGCGCCTTGCACCAGCAGCAGACCGGGAGCCGCAGACCATACCGGAGCAATTCCAGAAATTACTCTCTCAAATGAAGTAGACCGTTTGTTCAATACATCTATGTCGGCCAATACCTGGCAGGCATACACCGTGGGAATGCAAGCCTTTGAACATTTTCGCAGTGAACAGGGGTTGTGCCCAACTTGGCCGCCACCGGATACACACATACATATGTTTATTGCCCAACTCTCATTAAGGGGTTATAAACACTCAACAGCCAAGTCATATATGTCAGCAATCAGCTTTAATTGTAAAAGCAAAGGCTTAGATGACCCTGCAAAGACCTTTGTAGTGCAAAAACTTTTGCAGGGCATGAAGCGATCAAATCCTGGGGGGGATAGTCGTTTACCAATTACATTGAGATATATTATGTGTGTCAATACCCAAACTTCAGGTAATTTGTAGCAGTGAATATGAAACGGTGTTATATAAGGCAGCTTTCTTGCTCACATTTCATGCCTTTCTTAGAATAGGTGAAATTGCAATTTCTAAGGGCAATACAGTTAGAACCATTTTGCAAGTTGAAGATATTACGTTATGGGCCAATAAAGTGATTATTAATGTTAGGCAGTCAAAAACAGATCAAATGGGTAAAGGGGTGAAATTGAGCGTTCAGGCATCATATGGGGTTATGTGTCCAGTTAGAGCGATGCAGGTGTACTTACAAGAGCGTCCGACAGGTATGGGCCCTCTGTTCTGTCATTATTCAGGAAAACCGGTAACTCGCTTCCAGTTCAGTTCAATATTAGAGAAAGTTCTAAATATGTCGGGAATTGATAGTAGAAATTATAAGTCACACGCATTTCGAATAGGGGCAGCAACAACGCTTGCACAGCAAGGGGCATCAAGGGAGGTTATTCAAAATTCGGGGAGATGGCGTTCTAATGCTTATTGTTCATACATTCGTTAATCATTCAAATCTTGACATTCATCTAGTTTTTAATTCAGGCAATTTTAAAGTTTGGATCGTTGGATCATCAATCGTGAAGAGAGCCTTTTTAACAACAAGAACAGGGGGTCACAATCTAAATGTGCCTAACACACACATATGGTGGCAGGGCTATGGGGGTATGATATTGAGTCAACTGGTACCTAAACTGAAGCTCCTACAGAGATTAGAAGACCAACCCAATCTTGTTATAGTTCACTGTGGGGATAACAATATTGGTCTTCTAAAGTTGCAGGACTTATTGCTACATATCAAAGAAACATTGTCACAGGTATCTAAATTATTCCCCAATTCAAAAATAGTTTGGTCAAGTATGCTCCCAAGGTATGTATGGCGTTACTCTAGCAATGTCAAAGCGATGGAAAAGGCCAGGGCAAGAATTAACAGGGAAGCAATTAGGGTGATTACATCACAGGGTGGGGCGGCACTGGGGCCTACATAAAACATTTACAATTTGAGGGTAAACATAGTGGGTTATTTCACCAAGATGGGGTACATCTACATAGAATTATAAGTGTCAAGCTTTCCGGATAATCATAGTCCATTTAGGTAAAGTTTAATATTACGTAATTCAACTTCCTTTCTAGAAGATTCCAGAAAAGTGTAAGGTCACATTTTTTATGTAGGAAAAAACTGCTCTTGATATTATTTGACCCACCCTCCCAACCGATACTGCTGGCTGCTTTCTTTTGTATTCTTTTAGCGGATCGCATGAAGATGTCCAGTTTTGATTCAAGTCCAGTCCATGTCGCGGTGATGTTAGTTGGCGTTTGGTAATCCGTCACACCTCAACGCAATTGGAGGAGTGCAACACATCAAGCTCATTACATTGGTTGATTGTTATATTGAAATTGAACTGTTGAATTTGTACATTAAATTTAAATTGAATATGCAATATTGATTGATATTGATTAGAGGGCATTGGATAATACTTTGACTGTTTAAGGGTAATTGACTATGGATTTTATTGTTTAAGGGTAATTGACTATGGATTTTATTGTACATGTTTTGGTGACGTCCACGCACTTGTGACATACCCAGTGCTGGATCCGCCCAATTTTGGGCCGTCACATATTTGGTATTGTTTGTTTATTGTTTTGAGGGGCAGCCCTGTGGTAGCCCCTGCAATGAATCACCGCGGCCAGATGTGCCACAATAAATAAATATATATTTTGTTGTCTTTGGGGAATCTGAGATAAAAGACTTAGTTAAATATGAAAAGCCATAGTTCCACTAACTCAAAAGTTATGGGCAAGGTCAAAGTTTTTTTTATGACGGACTCACAGACGAATGAGATTTAATGTCCCCAAAAACGCAAAAGCGGGGGAAAATTAAATGGTCATCACGCTGACGAACAAATAATGTGTTCGATTCTTCGGATATGTCACTATTGATACTTACACGAAAGAATATCCTAACTGCTCAGTTTCCGAGTACAAAACTCAGCTGCAGAGTTCCATTGGCAATCATCGGTGACCCAATATATTGAAAATTTTCGAATGGATTTAAAAACATACATATGCATGTACATGTATGCAGTATTTTGACATCACACAATAGTTAAGTTACTAAAAAAAGTTCACCACATTAATATTTAGCCTATCATATTTAAATGCGTTTAATGTAAATTCTAATATGGAGAGAAATGTACTCACCCACAATAAATGTTTGATATGATTGCCATCGGATATCCAAGGAGCGACTCAAAAAGATTGGCTACTCCGATGTTGACCATGAAGATGTTTACAGAATACCTTGCAAGACGACTCCTTGTAAAAATGTATATGACTAGAGAGTTCCCGCAAAATGAAATTATAGCTAAAATAAAAGAAAAAAAAGAACTTTGGATATTGTATCCTTAAAACCATCATTTGATAAGAATTAAATTCATATATGTTTTTACTTGTTTTAACTTTGTTACACTTTAAATTAATCAGTATACCAAGTGATTTGTTCAATACAACAACATTTACCTGTTAATGTTAAGTAGGCGGCAAGAAAGTAGTAAAGGTTCGAAGGTAAAGCAGTCTGCACCACCAACGACACGTTATGGAGCAAAATTGCTGAATTGTTCATTATTCTGTGGTTTGTGTTGAACTGCGGTGTTTCCTTTGCAGAGACAAAAGAAATGGCATTGACGCAATATCGGCAAAATGACTAGTTTTCCAAGTGATAATGATGCAATGTGTTACGTTGAAATCGTTTTGTGGAAATGAATGCAATTTGTCAATTCACAAATATGAGTACGGTGATTGTCAGGTATTTAATAATCTTAATCCATGGATCATTGTCCATTGAATGTAAGAGTGGTAAAAGATCAGGAAATGCTTTGAAATATTCAAATTGTATAAAATATATACTCTCTTTTGTACATTATACAATTGACTTTCATTATCAGACAAGAATGTTTGGTATACATTACCACGGTAATTGCGAAATAATTTATCAGTTAAGGTTTTAAAAGAGTCAAATAATATGCATTTTATTTAGCTGTGATTGAATGGGAATCTTCCGAAAGTATTGCTGATGTAATACTTGTCTTAAACATATGTTGAAGATTATGCCAGACGATGGGCCAAATACATGTATGACAAAGACGTTGACACTTTGTCATAATGGATTAAATGTATCAGGTCCATGTTAAAATCGCGTATAAAAAGATTGAAGGGCACTATGAAAACCATCTATCCTTCTGTATTCAACAATCCAGAAGTGAAAAAAGAATCTAATAGATTACATGATCAGTAAGTACTGGTCCCTGCTGACAAAGCAGGTAACAACATTGTTTTCGTTTGTAAGGCTCCTTATATAAATGGTATTTTAGAAGAACTAGAATTTAATTCTACAAATGGTAATCCAACTTATACTCATACATGTAGTTCTCTTTCTAAGGAAGAAATTCTTCAAAATAATATGTCAGTTTCGAATACCCCCAAGAGCCAAAACGATTTTGAACTACCATATATATCTTAGATTTCGAAACTTCATAAAAATTCTTTCAAAGATAGATTGCGGGTTCCAGTAAAAGTTCTACCAAGCCTCTTTCTTTACTCCTCACTAAGAAATTAACAGTAGTGAATGAGAAACTTTAAGAGTACTGTACAACAATATATTCAAGATTTGGTGTGAATCAGATGTGGATACTCAAAAATTCCAAAAAACTTTTAGACAATTTGAAATCACAATATCAAAATCAACAGCTTAAAAACTTACACGACTTTTCAACTTTATACACAACCATTCCCCACGAAAAATTAAAGTCCAGGCTTTTTAATATCAATGACAGCTGCTTTATCAATAAAAATGGAATTCGTAAATTTACTTAGTACTTAGTCATTGGTCATTTGCAAAATTATTCTGTTAAAACACATTCTGATTGCACACACGGGTACTCTGAATGTGACATCAAAAGATGCTTGTGTTTCTGATTGACATATTGGGATAAAAATCTGTGTGGTTACGGCAATTTTTCCACGTTTTGGACCGGACATATCTTATAGAAAAGATATCATCTTTATTATTTTTTCCAGTGTTTTTACAAAAATTCAATGCAGTTTCTGATATTAAGATATTGGGATAAAACGCATTCATGTATAATTACAGTACTCTTTTTTCTCCACGTTATACCGGTACGCCTTTCCTTATGCCCTCATGAAACCCGTGATAATTTAAAACTATATGTGTAATTCGATAAACACATGGGAATTTAAGCATTATCGATGAAAATCGGACGGCTAAGCAAAATTATATTTACCAACATATTAGTTATTCTGGTAAATGTTAAAATTGAACTTGATAAGAGCTAACTGGTATTTTCCGTAAACGATTACATTTATATGCATTATTTTTTTCAGAATAAAAATGTGTGCAAAATTTGTGAAAATTCTTCAAAAATCTTAACAGATTTTTTGTTAAAAAAATGTTTTTGAGGAAGAAAAACAAAAGCACGTGTTATCTTTTTGTTCTTTTAAAACATGTTTTGGGGTGTGTAAAAATGCTGTTGTCTGATTGGACAGAAAAATAATTACGTGTACTAGATGTACATTTATAGCAACTTTCAGTTATCGTTCTTGACTTCCTTATTTCGAAATCGTCCGGACTTGTTTTGATTGACATTATCTGTATGGTTTTTGGAGACCAGGTCTTCCAACAATCTTTTGGAATTCCCATGGGTACCGATTGCGCTCCGTTATTAGCAGACCTATTTTTGTATTTATATGAAGCAGAATTTGTGCAAAATTTGTGAAATAAAGAAAACACTTGCTGTAGTCTTCAATTCAACATTTAGATATATCGACGATGTATTGTGAATTAAAAATGGTAATTTCCATTCCTATGTCAATATGATATATATTAGTGAGCTTGAGATAAAAGATACCCGAGAGTCTAACACATCTTTTTTATACTTGGATATGATACTTGAGAAAGACGTTAATGGTAATCTAACAACCAAGCTATAAACGTGATGACTAACTTCACTATCGTCAACTTCCCTTACGTATGCAGCAATATACCTTCATCACCTGCATACGGCGTTTATATATCTCAGTTGATTCGATACGCAAGAGCATACTGTACGTATGAACAATTTCTAAAACAAGATAAATCATTGACAAACAAGTTGATGAAACAAGAATATCAGCAGTCTCGTTTAAAGTCATCATTTCGTAAGTTCTATGATCGATACAATGACCTTGTCAGCAAATACAATTTATCATTCAGTCAACTGCTGACTGACTTTTCAAACTACTTGTTAGTCCATTATTCATACACTGAATTTACGACGGATATTTCCGTTATTTCCCTATCATGACAAGGAGCACACAGGGGATGCTCACTCCTCGATGGCACCTGATCCCACCTCTGATGTTTTAGAGGTCCGTGTTTGCTCTGTTCTTATTTTGTATTGTTCTATGGACTTTGATATTGAATAGTGTTCGTTATCTTCATATCCTTCACAAGCCCAAATAGACCTTGACATTCCAATCTTTCAAGAAACATAGGATAATAACATCAGTACGTACATATCTTCCTTACTAATCTAGTATACAACGGTTTTAATTTGTCACTTTAAATCCCTCTTTTGTGAATCTTAGAATGAAAATATAAAATCTATACGGTTAAAGTTATTCATTTTACTTCTTTGGACATGACTGGAGTTGTTATTTTTCAAGATTTTTATTAACAATAATTATTATTTGTATCATCTTTCCTCTAGTCGGACTCGTCAACAAATAATGTCCAAACAGTAAAATAGGAATTAAGTTAAAGGGAAAGGACCTAATATTACCTATTTGATTGGTTGATTATATGTTGTTTTACTTCCATTCGAGAATATTTCACTCATATAGTCACCATATACCAATGAAGGGCTTAAAGTTTTGACCTTGGCACTTACGGACATTAAGTAGTGAGGGATCTTTATCGTGCCAACGTCTACCGTGACACGGGGTCTAGGTTTTTAAGGTCTCATCCGAAGGACCCGCAACTTTCACTTGTAGGTGCCGAGCGCAAAGCGAAAAAACGGTTGCTTCCCTTTTAATCGACTTAGATCAGTCGAGTTTGAGATTCGAACTCACGACCTTCCCAAAACAGGGCGAGCTCTCTGCCGACTGAGCCTATTCATCTAAAAAAAAAACAAACAGAGAAAAGATCTTTGCTGTACCAAGAGGGTGCTTATCTTTGGCACGGAACACCATGTAAGGCTATATACATGTATACCTTCCTATGGATTCATTTTATTCAAAAAAAGTACATATAATCTCAAAAGGTTTCTGAAATGAATTTAATCCTTATTTTACCTTTAGTTCTTATTTTGTTATCGAAAGTTATGCCAAACTGTATTGACAGTTTCGCTTCATTTTGTCTATTTCGAATATGGGACATAGTGAGGATGTGTCCTGAGCCCTAGTTGGATAATCCGGCAATTGCAGCTTTTGTACATGTATTGTCCGCTCATAGATGCCAAAGATCTTTCAGTTTGCCAGTGTTTCTTTCAAACCAGTCATCAAAACACAAGCATGTACTTCCGTCCTCAGATAAGATTTTATTATAGCTTTATGTCAGCTATAATTGCAACTACTTGTCGCAGGAAATAGAAATAATACAAACATTGATGTTTTCTCGGGACTTGGCTCAAGGGACATTTACTTCCTTATAAATTTGCTATTTAAGTTTCATTCAAGGCAGGTCGGAGATGTGAAAGGAAAAACAATACACTCAAAGTTTGATTAACTCCTACAGAACATTTTAAGGATTTACTATAGTATCTAATTTGACATACCACAATGTTTCCAAACAGAAGATATAGAATTTTGCTAATGATTTTTGGAACTTGTTGTTTTGGTGGTCTATATGGTCAACCTCTTACTCAAAGTAGTGGAAAAGAAAAGAGTTTTTCGGACAATAATCCAGAGACCGCTCATTTGTATGAGGAGATCAGAAAACAGTCGATTCAACTCCTAAATGCAGAACATAAAGTCTCCATCATCTCTTCGGAAATGATGGGCATCTACAAAAAAGACGTAACAGATTTGATGAAAAAATTTACTGAATTATCCGAGGATGCTGAAGTCATTTCACAAAATTTGACTGAATATGGAAGAATTGTCGACAAAGCGGATAGTTCTCTTGGAGACTTTTATAAAACATTGAATGTGTTGTCTAGAAATGCCTCAGAGTTGTTGATACAATCTGAAAATCAGCAGAGGAAGGACAACTTTTTAGATGAGGAAATCAGGGGTTTGGAGAATCAAGCAATGAAGGCTAAAAACGAATCGCAAAATCTGCAAATACGCTTTGGTGAGCCTCCTTTTAAGGTGTTCAATGAAAATATAAATTCATATCACGCATGATTTTGTCTAAGAAAAACATTACCTTTAGGTATCAGTTGCCTGCTTTGTGTCTATCCTTCATTGATCATTTAATGTGGGTATTTCTATTCTACAAATGTTATTTTTGCATATTTCGTGGTAATCATATTCATATTTAATCATTTAAAATGATTTGCCTAGGTCTTAAATTGACAGATATCGGTTCAAGCTCAATGAGGATTTCCTGTAAATTTCTGTTTATATTTACATGGCATTTCTTTCAGTCCAAATCTAGTTCATACTTCAAACAATTGCTTTTAAAATGACCTTGAATCACGTTTATAGTTCCCTTGTCAGTAGTTATTCTGTATGCTCTTCTTACAAAACATTTCTAAAATACTTTTTTCCAAACCGAATGTTTAATACGGATCTAACCATAACAAGGGATACCCGGCAGGTATGACCGGTAGACTGAGGATGCTTATTTTTCCATGACATTTCTTCCAACTTATTATGTTTTAGTGGTCCAATTTTGCTCTGCTGACAGTTAACATTCGTATCTGTATAATTTCATTTCTAAGCATAACCACTTCTTTTTATATTTACACCAATAGCAAGCACGTACATCAAGGGGGCCTGCATTATTTTCCAGACACATTTTTCTATTGAAAATGTTTACATTTCTAATAACATTTGATATAATTATAAATTTAAAAATGTCAATATCTTATTGTGCACTTTTAAATTTTGAATATGAATAACTTATTGTGCACTTTTGATAATAATATAATTTCAGAAAGCATGAAAAGATATCCAGTTGGCTTCACCGTGTATCTAGGACAAGATGCTAACTACACCGACAAGAGCAGGCTAAATTTCGCTGAAGTAATATCTAATATTGGAGGGCACTTCAACAGAGAGGATGACGAGTTTAACTGTCCTACTTCCGGCATGTACTTGTTCTCTGCTACAATATGCTCCCAGATAGCTAGTCGCGCTCATGCCTCTATTGTACTTAATACGAATACTGTTTTATCGCGTTTGATTGCAGAGGATAAAAATACACATGATTGTGGTAGCATGGACGTTGTCTCAGAAATTCGTGTTGGAGACAAAATTTGGATGAGGTCAGAGAACTTTTCCATGTTTGATACCCAGACCTACTTTTCTGGAGTTCTGATTATGAAAACAATAGTATAATGGACTTTTAAGTTGTGTAGCAATTTGTTCTGGTCCCGTTATAAGTTTCTTTGAATTGACCATTCTCTTTGACGTCACTTCGACAGCCTTTCATTGAATTTCCTAGCGGGACGACTACATGCCGTTGAAGAGCTGCACATTTAAGAACATTCGCAACCTTGCATACTGATAATTTTCATCCTGACGTCACTTCGACAGCCTTTCATTGAATTTCCTAGCGGGACGACTACATGCCGTTGAAGAGCTGCACATTTAAGAACATTCGCAACCTTGCATATTGATAATTTTCATCCCCCCGTAAACGAAGTTTCGGGGGTATATTGTTTTTGTCATGTCCGTCCGTCTGTCTCTCTGTCTGTCTGTCCGCAAAAACTTTAACCTTGCCCATGACTTTTGATTTATTTGAGCTATGACTTTCATATTTCACATGTGTATTCCTTGTGACAAAACCTTTCTTTGAGTACCACCAACTTTGACCTTTTGACTTTGGAATTTGACCAACTTTTACACAAAAATTCTTAACTTTTAATTTGGCCATATATTTTGAACAGTAGATACCAGGACTTTTATACTTTTTCATATATATATTTTCTTGGAAAGACCTTTTTTTGGATACCAACAACTTTGACCTTTTGACCTTGGAGATTTTCGTTCTTATAAAGAAACTTTAACCTTGGTCATAACTTTTGAACGGTAAGGGCTAGGGCTTTCATACTTCACACAGTATGTAATTCTTGTGAGAAAATGCTTTATCGAATACCAAGAACTTTGACCCTTTGACCTTCACTTTGGAGATTGACCTACTTGTAAAATACAATCTTGACCATAATTTCTGAAGGAATAGGACTAGGGCTTTCATACTTCACATATTTTAATTTTTGTGACAAGACCTTTCATTTGATATCAAGAACCTTGATCCCTTGACCTTGGAGTTTGACCAACTTTTACACAAAAATTCTTAACTTTTACTTTGGTCATATCTTTTGAACAGTACATACCAGGAGTTTTATATTTCCTATATGTATTCTTTGTTAAAAGACCTTTCATTTGAACTTGATCTTGGAGATTTCCATACTTATGAAAACCTATAACATTAACCATAAGCTATGAAGAGTAAGGGCTAGGAATTTCATACTTCACATATGTAATCCTTGTGACAAGACCTTTTATTTGATATCAAGAACCTTGACCCTTTAACTTTGGAGTTTGACCTACTTTTAAAATACAACCTTGACCATAATTTTTGAAGGGTTAGAGCCAGGGCTTTCATACTTCGCATATTAAATTTTGTGACACGACCTTTCATTTAATATCAAGAACATTGACCCTTTGATCTTGACCTTGGAGTTTGACCCAATTTTACACTAACAATCTAAACTTTTATTTTGGCCCTTATTTTTAAACGGTAATTACAAAGAATTTTTTATTTCAAATTTTATTTCAAATATCTTTTACCCTGTGGGGATCCGGGTTAGAATAGGTCCTCAGTACCCCCTTGCTTGTCGTAAAAGGCGACTAAATGGGGCGGTCCTTCGGATGAGACCGTATAAACCGAGGCCCCGTGTCGCAGCAGGTGTGGCACGATAAAGATCCCTCCCTGCTCAAAGGCCCTGAGTGCCGAGCATAGGCCTAAATTTGCAGCCCTTCACCGGCAATGGTGACGTCTCCATATCAGTGAAGTATTCTGGAGAGGGACGTTGAACAGTATACAATCAATCAATCAATCAAATATCTTTTTTTATGGCAAGGCCTTTCATTTGAAATCAACAATTTTTACCTTGGAGATTTCTGTACTTACGAAAAATCGTTAACGTTGGCTATAACTTTTGAACGGTAAGAGCTAGGGCTTTCATACTTCACATATGTTATCCTTGTGAGAAGACTTTTCATTGGATATCAACATTTTAAACCATTTGGAGTTTAGCCTACTTTTTACAAACTTTAACCTTGGCCATAACTTTAGAACGGTAAGGGCCAGCGCTTTCATACTTCCCATTTGTAATGTTTGAGACAAGGCCTATTTTTAGAAACCAACAACCTTGACCCTTTGATCTTGACCCCAGAGTTTGTCCTACCTTTAAAAACCTTACCTTCTTTATACCCTTTGAACAGGTGCTGCTAAGGTTTTATATTTCACATTTGTATTTCTTGTGAAAAGGCCTTACTTTAGGTATCAACGTATTTGATCTTCATTTGAGAAAGCTTAACCTTCGATTTGTTGCCACACGGGGGCATCTCTGTTTTACAAACACGTCTTGTTCAAGATACTTTTAATTCATAATTGAAAGTGCTATCAGATGTTCGTAGACAACAGAGCAGCGTGCATTACTAATATTAAAAGTATCAGGAAAATAGCTATTTAATAAATATGTTCGAATTTTTAATGTCAGGGTAACTATTTTACATTAGAAGTACAATAAAGAAAATGCCTAAATAAAGATACATGAGGAGTTATTGCCCTTGGTAACATTTATTAAATAATGAAAAATTGATTAAATGTAGAAATTATACATTTTCACAATTCGTTTATCCGAAAATTATTTGCATTACACTAATTGAAAAGCAATCATACAAAAGATATTTTTATATTGGGTATGAAGTTAAATTAATAACAGTTTTTGCAAAAACCTGTGACATCACAGAAGAGTGGAAGGCATTGATGGTCGTACACAACCCTAAACCCTTAATACAAGCAGCTAATATAGGAAGATTACGCGTCTTAACTGTACAACTTTTTTATCCTATATTTCATCGGAAAATTAAATTTTTAGATCTTATCCTCAATAGAAAATACCATAATACAAGGAATTAATAATATCAAAATTTCAAAATTTTATTGAATTTCTGATTACCAATATAATAATTAACAGAAATCCCATCGATTTTATATCTTTGTCATTGTAACAATGAAGGGAGTTCATCGTTAATTTTTTTTTTATACTGATACATTTTAAAAAATAAGATACTTGCCTGTCCCTTTCTAAATAAAAAAAAAGAACTTTTATCGTAGAATTTGAACTTACTACAAGTTGCTTTCCTTTTGTATTAAAAGTCTTTCTTGAAAATAAACCATCTCGTCTTTATAAAAGGTGTACAATAATTCGCAGTTTATTGTACTGAATGGTACTTTCTCGGTTAACTTATGTTCAGTACTGAATAACAGTTATTCCTCCACCAACTTTAAAGGTTTGACTGAATGTCTAACAAAGTGTTGACAGTTTCTGCAAGTGAATTTATATATAATTTTTTTCAATGCTTAAAAATGAATGAAAACAGTGTAAAATAACTTTATTTTCTTTAAGCTTTGATGTATTATACATTTTTACCTTCGATTGTTTGTTAGTGAGACTTAGTTTCACATCAGATTGTAGAGTCTTTACTTACACTGTGAAAAACATTTAATAAAATGTTGTTTTTTTGTCTCATTATTATTTATTTATTAGGTCACCTGAGTAACTCAGGTGACCTATTGCTATCCGTTTTCGTCCGTCGTGCGTCGTGTGTTAACATTTGAACATTTTCAGCTTCTTCTCTGAAACCACTGAACCAATTTCAACCAAATTTGGTATACAGCATTTATGGGTGAAGGGGAACAAAAATTGCTCATTTTATGGTCCCCGCCACCCTGGTCCCTGAGGGGTGGGGCAAAAACCACCAAAATATTGTTATCTTTAAAAATCTTCTTTACTCCTGGACATCAAGCAGGCAAACTGTTGGCATGAATGTAATGAGCATTGAGTCCTCTACCAAAATTGTGAAATTCATGGCCCCAGGTCCAGGGGTTCTAGTGCTAGGGCGGGGCTATATACATGTAGATTATATAGTGAAAATGCATTATTTCTTTGAAAATCTTCTTCTCTGCTCCTGATTATTAAATAAACTAACTAAGTACATAGCTATGATGAGCTAGAATGCCTCTTCCAGATTTGTGAATTTTATGGCCCCAGAGTCAGGGGTTCTGGTGTTAGGGCGGGGCTCTATTGATTATATAGTGAAAATGCATTTATTCTTTGAAAATCTTCTTCTCTGCTTCTGGGATTAAATAAACTAACTAGGCACATAGTTATGATGAGCAAGAGTGCCTTTTCCAAAATTGTGAATTTTATGGCCCCAGGGTCAGGGGTTCTGGTGTTACGGTGGGGCTCTATTGATTATATAGTGAAAATGCATTTATTCTTTCAAAATCTTCTTCCCTGCTTCTGAGTATTAAATAAACTAACTAAGCACATCGCTATGATAATCAAGAGTGCCTTTTCCAAAATTGTGAATTTTATGGCCCAAGGGTCAGGGGTTCTGGTGTTAGGGCGGGGCTCTATTGATTATATAGTGAAAATGCATTTATTCTTTGAAAATCTTCTTCTCTGCTTCTGAGTATTAAATAAACTAACTAAGCACATCGCTATGATGAGCTAGAATGCCTCTTTTAAAATTATGAATTTTATGGCCCCAGGATCAGAGGTTCTGGTGTTAGGGCGGGGCTCTATTGATTGTATAGTGAAAATGCATTTATTCTTTGAAAATCTTCTTCTCTGCTTCTGGGTATTAAATAAACGAACTAAGTACATAGTTATGATGAGCAAGAGTGCCTCTTCCAAAATTGTGAATTTTATGGCCCCAGGGTCAGGGGTTCTGGTGTTAGGGCGGGGCTCTATTGATAAAATAGTAAAAATACATTAATTTTTTGAAAATATTTTCCTTTGCTTCTGGTTTTATGATGAAGAAAGGTGCATCTAGCAAAGTGGGTTTTTTATGCCCCCTGGGTCTGAGTAGTCTGCAAATAAATTAATGCTTTGAAATCTGCTCTTTGGTATTAATCAACCATTTTATGATAAAATTTTTGAAATATAATAAACTAACTAAGGACACAGTTATGATGACCAAGAGTGCCTTTTCCGAAATTGTGAATTTTATAGCCCCAGGGTCAGGGTTCTGGTGTTAGGGCGGGGCTCTATTGATTATATAGTGAAAATGCATTTATTCTTTGAAAATCTTCTTCCCTGCTTCTGAGTATTAAATAAACTAACTAAGCACATCGCTATGATGATCAAGAGTGCCTTTTCCAAAATTGTGAATTTTATGGCCCAAGGGTCAGGGATTCTGGTGTTAAGGCAGGGCTCTATTGATTATATAGTAAAAATGCATTTATTCTTTGAAAATCTTCTTCTCTGCTTCTGGGTATTAAATAAACTAACTAAGTACATAGTTATGATGAGCGAGAGTGCCTCCTGTAAAATTGTGAATTTTATGGCCCCAGGGTCAGGGGTTCTGGTGTTAGGGCGGGGCTCTATTGATCATATGGTGAAAATGCATTTATTCTTTGAAAATCTTCTTCTCTGCTTCTGAGTATTAAATAAATCAAGCACATTTTATGCCTCTTTTAAAAAAATTTTTTGAAATATAATGAAAAAACTTTGAAAATCTTCTTCTCTGCTTCTGGGTATTAAATAAGAACTAAGTACATAGTTATGATGAGCAAGAGTGCCTTTTCCAAAATTGTGAATTTTATGGCCCCAGGGTCAGGGGTTCTGGTGTTAGGGCGGGGCTCTATAAAATAGTAAAAATACATTAATTTTTTGAAAATATATGATGAAAATGCAAATTTATTCTTTGCAAATAAATTAATGCTTTGAAATCTGCTCTTTGTATTAATCAACCATTTTATGATAAAATTTTTAAATATAATAAACTAACTAAGGACACAGTTATGATGAGCAAGAGTGCCTTTTCCGAAATTGTGAATTTTATAGCCCCAGGGTCAGGGTTCTGGTGTTAGGGCGGGGCTCTATTGATTATATAGTGAAAATGCATTTATTCTTTGAAAATCTTCTTCCCTGCTTCTGAGTATTAAATAAACTAACTAAAAACATCGTTATGATGAGCAAGAGTGCCTTTTCCAAAATTGTGAATTTTATGGCCCCAGGATCAGAGGTTCTGGTGTTAGGGCGGGGCTCTATTGATTATATAGTGAAAATGCATTTATTTTTTGAAAATCTTCTTCTCTGCTTCTGGGTATTAAATAAACTAACTAAGTACATAGTTATGATGAGCAAGAGTGCCTCTTCCAAAATTGTGAATTTTATGGCCCCAGGGTCAGGGGTTCTGATGTTAGGGCGGGGCTCTATTGATTATATAGTAAAAATACATTAATTTTTTGAAAATATTTTCCTTTGCTTCTGGTTTTATGATGAAGAAAGGTGCATCTAGCAAAGTGGGTTTTTTATGCCCCCTGGGTCAGAAGGGGGGGGGGGGGAGTACATAGTCTGCAAATAAATTAATGCTTTGAAATCTGCTCTTTGGTATTAATCAACAATTTTATGATAAAATTTGCAAATTTTTTTTAAATATGTGGCCCCTGGGTCAGTGGTTCCTTTGGGGTGAGGTGCACAACTGGGTATAAAGTGGAAGTGCATTTTCTCTTTGTTACTCTGATCTACC